CATTTCAGTGGTTATATTCTTTAGTTCTGATAGGTCCAGTTAAATAACTTCTATCTTTTTGTTGAAGTTCTCACTGCATTTATCCACTTATCTGTAGTTTGATGAGCAACTTTATGACTATTACTTTGAAATCTTTATTTAGTAGACAGCTTACCTCAGTTTCATTTAGTTCTTTTTCTGTTTTGGTTTTTTTGGTCCTGTTTTTGTTGTTGTTCAGAACATATTCTTTTTCTCTTCATTTTGTCTGTCTGTATCTATGTATTATATAAATCAGCTACATCTCCTGGTTTAAAAAAAATGGCTCCATTTAGAATGTGTCCCATGGGGCCCAGCAGTAGAATCAACCTTGTCACCAGAGCCAGGGGCTCCAGAGGGTGGACTAGTGTGGCCTCCTGTTGCGGCTGGGCCACAGCTTCTATGGACACACTGGCAGGTGGGGCTGGTGGTCTCTAGCCTGCTGGCTGTGAGGCCTGCCTACAACTCTTGTGGGCTCACTTGTGTGCAGGGCAAGCCTTTGGTATGCTGGCTGTGAGGTTCAGCCATGCTGTTGTAGACACACTGATGTGTGCTAATGCTGACTGAGGCCTCCTACTGGGTGTGGCAGAGCAGGAGTCACTTTAGAGGGGTGCTAGCTTGGGTGGGTCCTCAGGGAAATGCCAGGGTAGAGTGAACAGTGTTAGCAAGGCTGATGGAGAGTGTCAGAAATGGCACCTGCCAGTGTTAGACCAGCTAGTTTAAAGAAAGGGGAAAACATGGCTTCTGCTAGCCCCTCTGAATCAGGAGAAAGTTCTGATTTCTGTCCTTCCAGCAAACAACCTAAAATTAGACAATGTATCACCTTCACATATGACTGAGGTGCTTTTAAAACTGCTGCCTCTATGCTGGGACTCAGAGTACAATCTGTTTCCTACAGCCCTTTGGCTCTCCTAGATGTTAAGTCCCACACGTTTCAAAGCCAGATGTTACAGGGCTCCTCTTCCTAGTGCATGTCCCCCAGGCTAGGACTTGAACCCTCCACTTCTTTGGGGATGAACGCCACAGCTGTGATATCCCTCCCACTTGTGAGTAACTGCATGGGCAGTTGTGGGGAGGGTAGGTCCTGACTAGACTTAGTCCCAACCCTTTCTATGTGTTTCAATGTGGCTCTTTCTTTATATCAGTAAATGCAGAAAATCTGTTCTGCTAGTCTTCAGGTCATTCTCAAAGATGGCTGTTCTATACATAGTTGTAGTTTTGGTGTCAACAAGAAGAGGTGAGCTCAAGATCTTCCTACTCCACCATCCTGAATTTGAAGGTAAAGATCCTCGCTCTTGAATGCCAATTTAGCTTGTCCATGAAATGTAGTAACTTGTGGTTCATGCACTGGCCCCACAACAAACATGTCTTTGGGTGGGATCACCTAGTCACTCTATAACTGTATTCTTAAAGGTCAGAAGAGTCTTCTCTATAGGACATGTTTTTTCTGCATGCTAAGTAATTGGGCTATAATATAGATTTGGTTCCTATCACATGGAGTTTTCATTCAGAACAATTTTACTTAGTAGCTATTCAGTAAATGACCGCTTTATATGTTTTGTTAATAACTACCTTATCAAGAGCAATTTCCATATTTGCAACCTTTTCTTTCAAACGACGTTCCTGCGATCTCAGGACTTCTAGTTCTCCGGACATCTTGTTTTTCTCTGTTACAACAGTACTCAATTCCTGGCTTAATTTATTCTTTTCTTCTTTTAGAAAATGCTTTTCCTATAATTATAGAGGAGAAAAGCACCATAAATTATGGTGATGAAAATACAAAACTGCTCTATAAAAATCTGAACTATAGTTTAATTCATATGACATTTTCTTGCTTCTGAGTTGGAGTTGGGAGCTGCTAGAATAACATTATCATGTATTGTCTCATTTTTATCAATACTAGTATTATTATTTTTTTCTAGGCTCAAGAAATCCTTGATAAAATGCACAAAATATGTAATAATTATGTTGACATAAAAAAACAGTGAACAGTGTGTGTTGATTTGAGATTATGTAATCATATACCAAACTTTACTGAAACGTGTTTAAAATGACAGAAGAGATAATAAAGAAGATGCATTTACTTGAAAGCTTTATGGGTTTTTATTTTGTTTCAAGGCTGAATATTCATTTCACAAATGACATAAAAAGAAATGGAAGACACAATTCCTGCCCTCAAGTCCAGTGATGAGAATGAGCTCACTGATCTACTTAGAGAGAGTCTTTGGTATTCAACAAAACTTCATTAAAATTAGTTCATTCCTTTAGAAAAATCATGGAATAGGTAGACAAAAAGAAATACATAGTAGCCAAGTTAAAATACACACCTCGACTTAAAGAGTCTATATTTCTTTAAATATTTTTTTCAAAGAGAAAATGTTTAATATAAACAAGGTAGATGGTATCATCACTGTACTACACATTTTGGATGCAAATAATTTTTCCTTTTCTCATTAGTTAGGCAGAAAAGGTTTCAGAAAGAGAAGACTATTTATTTTACAAGCTGCCTCCTTTCCTCTAAAGGGAATGTCGTTGGGCTTTGATGACTGCTTCCCTTCAGCAGGCACCGGCAGCCTCTTAATGCCCTAAGTGTCCTCAGAGACAGAGAGCTCAAGCGCTGCTTTAGATTCCAAACAGGCAAATAACCGACAAAGAAAGAAAAGATTTAGGATAGTAAAAATGGTAAAGAACAAAGAAATATGTACATATTTGTTAACAGTTATCCTCATTCTAAAACAGTATTTCAGCAGCTCATTTTGGGTATGGAGAAAGTAATTACTTGAGTTACACTCATTATTTTTTTTTACTCATGCTCTTTATGTTCTCACCTCCATTACAGTCAGTTCTAATTCTTCTGTTAAAAATGCAAATTTGTTCCAAAGTATGATATTATCAGGAAACATTTGAGCATAACACAAATGTCACATTTACTTATGTGAAGTTTCACTTATGAGAAACTGCACCCAGCTAAACAAAGCTGCAAAGGAATATGCAAAAAGCATACATGCACTGTTCAAACAACTATCTATCAGCTACCTCAGTTTATCTCATGTTATGAGCCACATCCAAGCACACCTGGTATTAAATCTACCTTCTACCCCTTCATAGTGACTCACAAGCTGCAACTCTTTGATGCACACTTCCACAAGGAAACTTCTGGTGTTTTTTTTTAAGATAAGGGGCCATATTTGTTTTAGTGTTTATGTATTTCTGAACCACTGAACATGTATAAACTGTGCTTCCATTTTCATTAGGTTTCTGTTTTTTTGTGTGTCACTCATGGAATTTGTTAGCATGGTACTACTCATCCCTTTGTTTCCATAAGCCCTGTGGTTTTTATTGCACACTTTCGTGTAGCATAGTAATTTTAAGAACACATGTCACATTATAGTGAAACTGTGCTTTGTATATAATCACTCCCTGATTCTATAAGGAACATCTTTTTGTCCATCCTGCATTTAACTAGTTCTTTTGAGATCCTGCTCAAATGTTCTTTCAGGAACTTTACCCTAATTTTCTCAGTCAGAAAAACTTCTCTTTTCTCCACTGTACATTTTAATCTCTGCTCTGTCTTATTCTGTTTTGCAGTGTATTACTGAATGAACATACTGGTTTCCCCCAGCCTGAGGATAGGGACTTACCTTATTTGCATTTGTCATTGCCTCTTCCAAAAATTGTATCTTGCTCTGAAGGGCATCTATTTGACCTCTTTTAGCTGTGATTTGTTTTTGCATTCCCATTGCCACTTTCATAGCTGGAAAAAAAGTAAACTGTGCCTTAGTTTTTAAGTTTCTAAATTTTGAGAGGCTATAACTATAATGTGATGGTTAAACATTATGAGGTGACAAGTAAGATTCTCCAAGGCACCTGTACAGTTTCAAGTGAATGACCACAGAAAAAGGTCTTTGGATTTCACAATATTGGAATATAACAATTTTCAGCAATTACTTGGAGGTTTTAAGCTAAAAATACATATGTATATATGAGATAATATTTTGTGATTTCCTTGTTAGTGGAATTAATTTCACTGATGACTGTAATTTACCATATCTCCAATGGTAATAAATAATAATGACCAGATTCATACTTACACATATAGGAAGTAGATACATAAAAATATAGTCATATAATAAATGTACCATATATTTTTAATAATTCTTGTAGAAACTGATATTTACATCTACGATTAGTGATATTTTAAAAGATCCAGTGATATCACAAACCATTCAATTTTTATTCCCATGTTTATTGTCACATGCTTGGAGTTTGCTACTCTTTCAATAGTTCAATTGGCAGCATAAGCCTATATGTGATTATTTTAGTGTAACTCATGACAGGCTGAGAATGTTCTGTACAGGTAGTAGACAGTAAATACTCAAGACATGTCATGCCACTGAAAACATATACAATGTTCCTCCTTGCTTCGGAAATTCAAAATCAGAGACCCTATGTTGTTTCTCATAGTCAGCTGAGGAAAGAGTTTTGAAAATGCTACTGCTTTGAGTCAGGTCCAATTATAGCTTAGAGGTTAAAAAAAGAAAAGTTAGTGTTCTTTGAAAACAAACTTGCTAACAAGGTATAGTTCCTATCGCTAAACTGTCAAAAACAGGGTTAACAGAGGCACAATACATCGATATATTAATAGATAAAAAGTCCGACATCACTGGTTCACCATTCTGAAGAATTCTGGTCTAAGATGATCACGACTGGCCTTCAAAGGTAATTTTCTTACATAATCTGTTATATTTTAAGATAATTTTAATCAATGACAATAAGCATTTGAATGCCAATGCAAGATTACTTAGTTGATTTAGTAATTGTGACTGGGGCAGTTGTGGAGATGCCAGGATGGCAATGAGGAAGGGACTCTATCTGCAGGGAGGGGACAGCCCCCAACTGGGCCTCTTGAGTGAGTGGCCTCTCCAAACCCTACCATTGTCATAGCATGAACCAGCAAGGAAAGAGCTGAACCTCTGAGAACCACACAAAATATGGAATAATTCAAAAATTTGCATGTCATCTTTGTACAGGTGCCATGCTAATCTTCTCTGCATCATTCCAATTTTAGTATATGTGCTGCTGAAGCAAGCACAAAATAAGTCTTTTGACATTAAAAATATTGAGAAATGGAAAAATGTATATTTGATTTAGATATTTAGTCTTATAGTCAGCTAACACAGCCATACCAAAAACATGAATATGAAACAGTAAATAACCTTCTCTTTCTGAGTTAGTATGGGTAGCAAGGTAAAAAGGGAACAGGTCTAAGTGGTGGGAAGAGACCCCTGATTCTAGCAGTTCAATTCCCAGGTCTCCCTCCCAGGAAATGACAACTAGCCATAGATACATAGTTCACATAGATAACGAACATGTGAAAAATAAGGGGTTGAATGAAAATTATCAGTAATTTGTATTTATACAAACACATCCTTAAAAATAATTAATTGGCATTTACAGATGTGGAAATCTGTTAGAAATTATTGAAATAAATACAGGGAAAGAAAATTTAGATACTTGAGGTATTAAATTGCACGGCCATTCCTACCCGCCCCCCCCCAAAAAAAACCCCAAGCAGAACTACTGCTATGTAACACCCATCATTGATACCTATTGCTGTATCTCTCTCACATCATATAGCACCGTGAAGAAGATGGCAGGCAATGTATCCAGGTTTGTGCTTTAATAAAACTAGGTCAATGGAATTAAAAATAAAAGAAAAAACATCTAACAAAGCATACCATGACCATCAGATCCTTCCATTGACTTCAATGTATTTCTTGTTTGTTCTAGTTCAGACTGTGCAGATTTTAATTGCATTTTCAGCTTATTTGTAGTAGTTTCCATTTCTTCACTTTTGTTTCGGAAATTCCTTTTTAAGACTTCATAGTCTTCTGTATGACATGATAATTAATAAGAGTTACTTTTCCTATACCATTGTTATGAAGCATATTTTATTTGTAATTAATGATCACAGAATTTTAGAGCTAGAAGAGACTTCATTTAGTTACACCGTCATTTGTTACAGAAATTAAGATGTATATACATACACATTTCCAGGGATCTGACTCTTTAAATCTACTTGGGTGGATCCTCCAATATTGCTTTTATCCAGCCTGGGTACTTGACTTACATCTATTTCATCTTATACCTTTTTCTTGGGCTATCATATCCACTACAATAGATTTAGGTAGACAGATGTCCATGACACAGTAAGTAACCTGAGGCTGTCATGTGCTTTTTTTTTTTTTTATCTTCAGTAACTGTCAAAATGCTTGGCATGCATTCATCATTCATATACAGAATACATACATACTTAACTATCTATTTATATTTATATATTTATATATGATAGATAGATTTACATATACAGGAAGCTGACAGAGCCAAGATCTCTTTGCTGAGATCTCTGTCTATCTAGATGTTTCCATGTAGATGTCCTGGTGCCAACCAAACCAACTATCTCATATTGACTGCATCTCACCATCTTGCCCTCAAACTGCCCCTCCTTCCCGTTTCCCTCTCTCAGCTATTGGTATCATTGTTTTCCCAATAATTCAAACTTCAAACCTGAAACCCATACAACCCCTCCAGTCATTAAGTACTGTCGAGTCAATCTCCAAAAATATTCTGAATTCTTCCTTCTCCTCTCATTCTTACTGCCTTAGTTCAAGTTCTCATCATATTTCCCTGGGACCTTGCAAAATCCCCTTTAATGAGTTGGTCTCTGGCGCTTTAGTCTTGCCTTCCTCTCTTCACTTGCTGAGCTGCTTTTCTAAAATGTAAATTTGATGAAACCAACCTCTTACTTAGTATCCTTTGCTGGCTCCACCCTGTCTGGTTCTGCCTCATTTCTTAGTCCTCACCCCTTCACACTTTTACTCCAACAAATACTTCTGAGGTCCCATCATGTTATTTCATGCCTTCACGGCTTTGCCTCTTCATGTTCTCTCTGTCTGATAGCCCTTCCACCTCTTCTTCACCTGCCAAATTCCTCTTCCCCCTTCAAACCTAGTACAGATGACACCTACTGCAGGAGGCTGGTTCTCTACCCCTCCTCCCTCTGCTCTCAGCACACATCCACTGTGCCTCATCCACCGGACCGTAACCCGTTCTGTCCAGCCTGGCTACCAACTACCCGGGAGCCTCACTGTTGTGTTTCTAGGGCCTGTCTCAGTATCTGGCTTGGCAAGTGCTCAGGAACTATTGACTATGTCTGTATCTGTGAAGCAAGTGATGCCTGTACCATACTAATTGTAAATAAGAAGTGTTTCATTTTTTAATTTAAGGCCTTGAATTTTTCCTTTCAAGAAATTTGCATAAGTCTGTTTGCATATGTTGCTTCATCATTAAAGTTCTGGTCAAGGTATCTGACCCAAAGGACTCAAGGTTTTCCACTTCCCTCACCCTTTTCTAAGAAACTCAGAAAACACTGAGTTTTCATGGACCCTGAGGGCTGACTAACATGAACAGTAAATAAGGGCAAGGTATGAAAGCGCTTCAAGGGGAAGCATCATCAGGTGATGAAATGGATCTACGGGGGCAGCATCATTATTCCGTATTTGTAATGTGGGATGAGGAACTATTCTTTCACAATAGTCCTAGCATCTACATGGGACTTCACTGATAGAGCTATGTTGTTGTTGTTTTTTTAGCAGAATCTGAACTGAAGTAACATACCTGTAAGACTGTTTAACTCATTCCTACTGGTTTTCACTTCATTTAACAATTGATCCCTCTCTTGTCTGATGTCCTTCACTGCCCGAAGCCGCTCTGAGCCTGCGTTCACCAGCTTCACCTTTTCCAGCTCCAGGTCACTCACTCTGGCCTCGAGCTCTCGTATCTTTGCATCTTTTTTATCTTTTAAAATCTAAATATAGTGATAAATACCACGGGTAGAGTAAGAAATGAAATATATGTACATATACAATTATAACATGTTGTCTTAATGTCGTATTTATAGCTATATAAATAAATGTCTTTTTACTATTTCCCAGGATATTAAACTTGTATTTTATTATAAAGCATCAGCAGAGTAAGTGGGAGAACAAAAGCAGTATTTTACCTTTTTAAAAAAATCTTACATGTCAATTCAGCATATAGTTGTGCCATTAGCCACATGTGATTATTGTGTATTTGCGGTGTGGCTAATCTAAGTGGGGATGTGCTATAAGTGTAAAATATACCAGATTTCAAAAGCTTTACATTAAAAAATGTAAAATATCTCAATTTGTTATACTGATTGCATATTTTGGATGTGAATTAAATAAATGTCACTAATTTCACCTGTTTCTTTTTATGTGTCTATTAGAAATTTTAAAATTACATATATGGTTCACACTATATTTTGAGTTGATGATGTTTCCAAACAAATGACATTTGAAAAAAAATTTTTTTCCAAAGGAATTTCTACTGCTTGGTGTATATTTCTCCAAATACTGATATAGGTGTAGATATAAAAGCATCGGTGTATTATTTTCCAGGCTTACACTTAAATTTTTTTTAAACTTATGTTTTTGGTCATCAGACTGTCCCCTAAAATTAAGGCCTGTTGGCCTTAAATATAATTAGGCATACTTCATTTTACTGTACTCCACTTTACTGTACTTCATAGATGTGTTTTTTACAAATTGAAGACAAGACCCTCTATCAGCAAAAAGGTTTTAACTTGCTTCATTGTGACACTTCACTGTGGTGGTCTGGAGCCAAACCCATGAGATCTCTGAGGTATACCTGTAATATTCACTCATATACTGCCTAAGATCCTATCCCAAGGCAGCGTTGCTCATAGGCAAGTTATTTAAAGTCTCCATGCTCACACATCTGTATAAGCAACTGATATTTGACAAAGGTGGCAAAAGCATAAGATGGAGTGGAGTCTCTTCAATAAATGGTATTGGGAAAACTGGATTGGTACGTGCAAAAAAATTGAACTAGACCACCAAATTACACCATATACAAAAATAAATTCAAAATGGATAAAAAACTTAACTGTAAGTCATGAAACCATAAAAATCCTAGGAGAAACCATAGGTAGTATATTCTCAGATATTCAATGTGAAAATATTTTTGCCGATATATCCCCTAAGGCACTGGAAACAAAGCTGAAGATAAACAAACGGGACTACATCAAATCAAAAAACTTCTGTACAGCTAAAGAAACCATCAGCCAGACAAACAGGGAACCTACTGTATGGGAGAACGTTTTCACCAATGATGAATCTGACAAGGGTTTATTCTCCAAAGAATACAAAGAACTACTACAAGTCAGTGCCAGGAAGACAAACAACCCATTTAAGAAGTGGGCAAAAGACCTGAATAGATACTTCTCCAAAAAAGGACATACAGAGGGTCCATAAACATATGAAAAATACTCAACATCACTAATCATCAGAGAAATGTAAATTAAAACCTCAATGAGAATCACCTTACACTTGTCAGAATGGCTACCATCAATAAATCAACAAACAACAAGCGCTAAGGATGTAGAGAAAAGGGAACCCTTTTGCACTGTTGGTAGGAATGCAGAATGGTGCAGCCACTGTCGAAAGCCGTATGGAGATACCTCAAAAAATTAAAAATGGAACTGCCTTATGACCCAGCGAGTCCACTTTTGGGAATACATTCCAAGAATCCCAAAACACGAATACAAAAAAGTATGTGCACCCCTATGTTTATAGCAGCACTATTTACAATAGCTAAGATTTGGAAACACCTTAAATGCCCATCAATAGATGAGTAAATAGAAAAGCTGTGGTACATTTATAAAATGGAATATTAAGCCGCAGTAAAAAAGAAGAAACTCTTACATTTTGCAACAGCATGGATGGACCTGGAGAAAATTATGCTGAGTGAATTAAGCCAGCCAGTGAGAGAAAAAATACCACAAGATCTCACTCATATGTATAATCTAATGAACATAATAAACTAATGAACAAGATAGTAACAGAATTTAGGTACATAAAACAAACTGGCAGCTCCCCGAAATGAGGTGGCAGGGAAGGGATGAAAGATGGTGGAGGGATTAACCAAAGAACATTTATACACAACTCATGGATATGGACAACATTATGGGGCATGGCTTGGCAGGCGGAG